GAACAGACCCAGCTCCTTTCGCCGCCCTTCACAGGGGACTGAGCCCCTGAGCCCCCCTCCCCCGTCGCTGCTCTCTGCGCTCTTCCCAGATCGCTCAGCACCCTTCCTTTTGTCCTCGGGGGACCAGAGCTGGCCCGGCATGCCAGGCGTGGTCTGTCCAGTGCACCGTGATGCAGACTGTCACTTCCTGTGGTCTCGACATTATGCCCTGTGGATGCAGCCCAGAACTGTGTTGGCTCTTTTGGCCGCTGCAGCACACGGCTGGCTGATGCTTACTCTGCGGTCTCCCAAGACGCCCAGGCCCTTCTCACGAGCACCGCTGCTGGGCCAGGCACCACCTCTCCTGTACCTGTGGTTCTGGTTTTTCCTGCCTAAGTGCAGAACTTGGGTGGAAGCCGCCTTCCTGAGGAACCAGGATTAGTGAGGATCCTGATCTAAGCTGCCTTCTCTTCCAAAGCAGCGGTGAAGCCAGGCTCTGCTGATCACGTGGCTGAGCTGAACGTTGTTTGGAAATTTCTGAGGAAATAAAAAATAGTGTATCGTTTCTAAAAACGACCCATGAATAAAGCGAGCAAACTTACTGTTCCAGCGCTAAAAAGGCCTGGAGACGAAGGAGGCCCCTTGCCAATGTCTGCCCCCTGGCACCGCTTCTGTTTTCAGTGCAGGGGGATTTTTACCGCTCTGTAAAGCTTGTGTCTGTAAATGCTCTTCAGAAGTCTTTGGGCACGAAACTTGTCCTCAGTAATCTTGCCTATGCTCTGCAGACACAAGCCAGGATTTGAGCACGAACCAGAGAATCAGGGAGTCCGGTCCATCCCCTGCAGGAATCCCAAGTTGGGCATCCCCGGTGATGGCTGCCCGGCTGCCTCCCAGCCGTTGGCCCCACTGTCCCGCTCTTCTCACATTCGGGAGGCGTTTTCTGACATCCCACCCGAATCTGCCTTCCCACGCCTTGCACCTTTTCTTCTGGAACGAGGGAGGAGGTCTTGGCAAGGGGACTGTGCCTTTCCCAGGTGTCGTCCCTCGTGGCTCTGCTGCACGCCCATTTCGCTTCGTCTCTCCTGCTGGGGCTGGGGGGGCTTCCGCGGGGAAAGGGTTTGCATGCCCACCCAAGCGTCTCCCAGAAGAAGCTTCCTGTGCCCGTACTGGCTGGAGCAGAGGACGGGAAGAGATAAAATACAGACAGGCAGAACCAGGATCCGGGAGATTATCTTGGGAAGGAGATACAGAAAGAGGGAAAGGGAGAGAGATAGATTCTTGAACTGCAGTCTCTGCAGGGAAGGGGGTCAGAGAAGTCAAGATGGTGGCCACAGGCATGAGACTGAGGCCCCACCCTTTTTCACAGGTGTGATGTAAAATTTTGATCACATGGTTGTGGTCACCATCTTGACTTTTTTTGACACCCCTGGCCCTGAAGCAATAGAAATCTCCTCCTCGCTTCCCTACTCCATGTGAAAGAGCAAGAAAAAAAAAATGGCCAGGGGTCCCCCATCCACAAGACAGTCCTTTAAAAAACATACCCCAGTGCTTTTTTTTCCTGCTAAAAAAGGAGAAAACAGACAGAACTTATTGCTACTCAACCTCATCTTTTTGCCTGGTTTATCACGTACGTGGGAACATGTGCCAGAATCTGCAAAGGGTAAAACAGCCCCCATCAGTTCTGACTGTGCTTTAAAATCATGTCAGACAAGAGGAATGCATTTGGTGTACCCATATGCAAAAACACCTGTGTCGTTAATATGGAGAGGGGCTTGCAAAGCTGTCCAGCCGTCTTTCCCCTTAAAGGACCTAAGAGGAGAACACTCCTTCAGCTGAAGCCCAAGGTGAACCAGCTGAGCCCAGACCAACCACAGCCCTAAAAAAGCGTCAGCTCTGCAAATGGAAAGATTTATTTGGGGGGGGGGTGTTATTTGTTTGATTTTGCTATTTTAGACAGCCCCAGCTGAGCCTGGGCTAAATCAGCCCGGCTGCTGAACCCAGGAGACAGGGTCAGGCCCCAAAGCTTCTCCTTGGAACCCCTTCACTGCCCACCCCGATTAGTTTTGCTGGCCATCTTTGCCCCCGTCCAGACTGTCCTCCCCACTTCGGTCCACAGGAAGCTTCCTCAGCCAGGAATGCGACCCTTCCCCAATTCCCACCCTCCTTAAGGGGAGCTGCTTGGCAGAAGGCGGCCGTTGATGGCAGACCCCAAAGCTGAGGACGGGGTCTTCTGGCACAGGGCCCTTCCCCAGACCTTGGGTGGTGTGCTGTTCTCCCGCCCCCCAGACGAGCGCAAAGTACGTGGCCCTGCAGCACCTCTTCTGTGGCCCCAAGTGGGGACCACACTGGGAGCCCTCCTTGGTCCAGGAGGCCTCTGAAGGAGCAGGATGGGTTCCCTGAACCGGGCTGAAGCACCTACTGAAAATGCCCGGGGCCTCTCCCCGAAGGCTCCCTGGCCCTCACTTTTGGTGAATGGCCTTCACGTGCCCCGCAAAACCCGGGGAAGCCCCTCTCATGCACCCGAAGCTGTGTCTGCCCTGCCCCCACCCCCACAGCCCCTCCCATTTGCCCACAAGGCTAAAGACGCGTGCGAAGGGAGGCGAACGGGCGAGGGCGGGGGCTGAGCGCCTGTCTTCACAGCCTCCTGCGCATTGCCTGGTCTGGTGCAAAGGCACCCCATCTATCCGGGAGGCCTGCTGACACAGTCCTCTTCTTCTGCCATGGCTGGAACAGAATTATGGTCTTGGGGGCACTGTCTGGCTCGGTGCCTCTTCACCTTGGTGGAATCGCTCCGCAGCCGAGGGGGGAACGTTCCCCTTTGGGTCAGCCTGGGAACGGCCGAGGCACCTGCCGGTGCAGCTGTGCTGGAGGGGCTCTGTGGAACCCCCTCCCTGCCTCCCCTTGCATGTGGGGCTCGGGGGGAATCCCCTTCGCGGCTGGACGGGACCCCCGCTTGGCTTTGTGCACAGCAGCACTTGGCCTGGGCGCTGGCAGGGAGGGAGAGCCAGTCCTTGCCGGGATTAAAAATCAAGCTCTCGCTTAGGGGGAACCTCCAGGCACTGGGACTCTCTCCCACTCCACTGAGAGGCAGATTCAAGGCTTCCTTTTTTTAATGCGGCTGTAATTAGTGGAGCAATAATTTACTTTGAAAGCCATCATATTTTGCATTCTTCCCAGCTGATGCCCTCCAGCACTCAGCACCGATCACCCTGCCAGCGTCATTGTGGAAAACAACGTAGCTTGAGAACACGGCTTGGGGAAGGCTGAGGTACATAACTGAGAGTCGCCCCCCCCCACCATCCGCCAGTCCTTCAGTTTAGCCACTGAGCGTTTCCCCAGAAAAAAGGCATCAGCGGAACCCCGGAGGGATGTCCGGTCTCACCGATTAGGGGCTGGAGCCTGAAAGGGCACCGCTGGCTGAAAGCACATGAGCCCCATCCCCGGGGGGGCCCCAGAGCAGGAGACCCTGCGGGTGAGAGAGGGGCTCGGGGGCAGCGGATGGGCCAGAAGCAGCCTGCTTGGTCGATGGGCGAGGTGGCGCCAGCTCAGGCAGAGCTGTGTTGACCGGAACACAAGCCCTGCTCTGGGATCCTCTGCGGGTGGGTTTCAGCACGCAGCTGTGTGCCGGTTTGCACGCGGGCTTGGCCTGTGCAAGTTGGATAAATTCACACTCAGACATGAATCAAAGCAACTTCTCCTAAAATCTAGTATTTGAGGGGGTTAGAAATGGGTTAGCTTTGCATTTTGTCACTTCTGAAGTTTTGCAATAAGCAGATCCGAAGGTAGCTGCACGACACAATGTTCTTTTATAAACGCTGTAATGCCATCCACAGCTCAGAGAGGAGGATGACCAAAAATGCATATATTCTGGAACAGCGTACATGGAAGTGCCTCTTATTAAAGGGCGAAATGTGCTTGGTAGGAAGAAGTTGGACAAAAATGTGTAAATTAGACGTGGGCACAAAGATTTTGAAATGAATGTCTTACTTCCTTTCTTCGTGGATTTTTGTGTGAATTTTCACGCAATTTCTTCGGCGCTGGCAAAACGGACCCCTGCGCGTGTCTTCTGGTCCGCCCGAAGCGGTCAGAGAGCGTGGGCGCCCCCTGGTGGCGCATCGGAGCGCGGCGGCTGATTCCAGCTGCTTTCACAAGAGCCTTCACCTTTCCTGGCCCAGAAATGGGTGCGTGCCGCAGAGGCCTCGTGCTCCACAGCAAAGCTCAGACTGGCCCTCCTCTAGCAACCGCCTGCTGCAAATTTAAGAAAGGATCTGCTTTCTTTTGCAGATGCAGTCCTGCCGGTGGACAGCAGGATACGTCGTCCTGACCCTTCTGCTCCTGTGGCAGCCCAGGAGAGCCGCCCAGGCCCAGGCCGTGCCAGAGGTGAGTGGGGGGCTGAGCCGGACCCATCCGCCTGTGGCTGGCCAAGATCACCGGGCGGTGACCTGCCCTGGCCTGCCCTGCGGCTCTCTTGCTTGGTGCGCTCTCAAGTGGCCAGAGCTGCTCGCCCTTCAAAGTTCCCGTGCCTCAGCCACGGTCAGCATGAGTTGGCGAGGGGGTGGGAAGCAGAAAATTCCCACGGTAATAATAATAATAAGTAAAATTTAAGCCATGAGGCTGGATCTGGCTAAGGGCCCACCTAGTCTGTGTTTGGGGTCCTCGAGAGATGCAGAGCGGCTTACGGGGGGTTCAGCAGGGTGAACACCTCTTCCACGGCTGCTTCCTACCAAGTCAAGCTGGGTCACCCCACCAGGTAGGCCAGACCAGGAAACCCACCCCACAGAAAGACTAAAAGTCCCTTGATTGAGATGGGCCCTAAGAACAGGATCTGGCCAGTCTGACTTCTCCTTCTCGTGGTTCAGTGAATCTGCCCTGGACTAAATGTTTCAACCCCCTTTGCGTGGGTCAGTGTTTCTCAACCTGGGCAAGTTGAAGATGCGTGGGATTTCACTCCCCCGGTTCCTGCTGGGGGATTCTTGGGGGTTGGAGTCCCGCCTCTTTCTATAGCCCCGG